TTCCATTAAGGACTATTAATAACTGTCATGAGTATGACAATTGCTTATTTGTCTGGATGTNTATTGTACTTTATAAATCTGATAATTATCATTGCATAGTCCTTATAATGATACTTTTGATGAACTACTTTCACAACAAGAGATTGCCCATACAGTCGTAGACGATTATAATTCAACTAATTATTCCATGAAACATAGTATTTGATTTAGTATAGTAGATATTTCTGTAAAAAACCTAAGGAGAGTTTGCAACTACGGATTATTTCCTTTAAGGCTTTATAATTATAGTCACTTAATGAAAGATTATGGATGTTACGGATATTTATTTAGTATAACCAAATATACTTCAGCCCTCTTTTATCGGGTGGGGGTTGGGATTATAAGTTATTCATAACTGGTGACCGTTTGCGTTGACGGATTATTTTATAGCTCATACTATGTTGTACTGTATAAATCTGATCATATTCAATTTCAGGAAGTGAATTGCTATATTTTATGGACTAGGTAAAATTAATCATTAGTTTATACAGTACCATGCAGCTTTCATATAAGAATGTTTTGGAGGGCGTATTCAGTTACGAGAGATGGAGTATTGTAAATATCGTGAACTCCTAAATATTAGTGTATTACGCGTATTTCTATCGCATTATTAATTTTAGCCCTTTTAAATCAATTTTAGCACAATTGCCGGCAGAATTAATACAGTATACTATCGTTACACTATTATCGAAGCACAGTTTCCTGCTTAAACTTTACGTCCTGCTACTGTCTAGAAGTGGTAGCGGACACAATCGATGGCACACTGAAAAAATGTACGGGGTTAAATGCTAAGCGAGGAGCGATTGATAAAAGCTAACCATAATTTGCTAAAAAAAAGTGCTGATTATTGTCTAACAGGCATAGAAGCAATGCTAATGGTCGTCAATATTCTAACGACTAGCTTATATAGTATTCTAACGAGTCTTTTTCTTCTTTTGAGTATTTAACAACAATTTTTGGTACAGTACTGGTAGTAGATATGAGAACACACATATTCGGCAAAGAAAAAGTACGGCGCGAAGAACGATTTATTTCTACCGTATTCTACTGGAATTTTCTTTTTTTCAAATCTTGAAATATGGATAGAAGGATAAAAGTGATCCCGTATCCAAGCCAAAAATATCTGGCTGATCTTAAGGTTTTAGGAAGCACTACGCCTCTTCACTCGTTCATGATATTGAACCACCGCATACCCTGCGTGCCGCCATGATAATACGCAATAGTATGTTGTGCATATATTACACTGCAAGAATTTTTTCTATTTGACCGTTATTTACAGTTGGTAGATTCAATCCAAATATGCACTAGCAACTCGTACTGTAAACGATTGTAAAAATGGAATGTTAATTAATAGAAAAAAATTCATTAAATTATTTACAGTATGTAGATTCAATCAAAATATGCACCAGCAGCTCGTACTGTAAATGATTGTAAAAATGGAATGTTAATTAATAGAAAAAAATTCTTTAAAACTTATGAATTTGCGATGAGCTTCATTAAGTAATAGTGAATATATGTATTAGTTGTGTTAAAGCTCATAGCTTTTCTATTCTGA